AGGGCTGCTTCTTCAGTAAACCTGTGATAGGATCACCTCTTCCCAGACAAGAAAAAGGCTGAGCAGGGGTGAATCCCAGAGGCAAAATATTATTAGGCACATTGAAATCCCCAAAGGAGCCGTTAAGCATTCACTGACACTGTTAAGTGAGTGTGGGAACACGGGTGAAGCATCCATCTCAATGCCACTATTGGTGAAAACTAAGTCTACCAATGCCAATAGGCGATGAAATGAGAGTTGATGAAAACACATCTGTACTCTGTAACATGCTGTTTGGCACCCATTTGATGTTATCTGGTAAAGTTAAGTATTTGCATAACCTGTAGGCCAGTAATTCTACTCTTAGTATATACCCAAAACATCAGGGAACAAGCAGAGGAGTATACAGACTGGCAACACTGTCTGTAATGACAAAAACCTGGAGTGGGAGAACATGTAGGTCTGTCAACAAAGTCTGTAGTCTAGGTAAATAATCTGATGTACAGTCATGCAATGGAATATTATACAGCAGGGAAAATGAAAAACTCACTGCCACGTGCTACAAGGATGAATCCTAAAAACATGTTGATTCAGGGGTGCCTGGTTGGCGTAGTTGGCCAGGCGTCCGACTCTTGATTTTGGCTCAGGTCATGATCTCAGGGTTGTGAGATAGAGACCCGCACAGGCCTGCGCGTGGAGCCTGCTTCGGATCCTCTCTCTCTCTCTCTCTCTGCCCTCCCCTCCTCATGCTTGCTTGCTTTCATGCTCTCTCTAAAAAAATAAAATTTTTTAAAAAACAAAGTAGCTTTAAATTGCATGCAGTATACCATTTTTATTATGCTATAAAAATAAGCAAAAATAAGTATCAACAAATGGTTTAAAATTTATTTTGAGAAAAAGACAATGATAAGCACAAAAAGCAGAAAACTAGTTACCTCTATAGTGAGCAAGATGAATGGGATGGGGAGAACATGGACAGATGTAATGATATGGAGAATGTTCTAGTTCTTGGGGGGTGGTAGGTTCATAGGAATATAATGTATATGTTTTAATATGTTACATATATTCTTTGGCATGTACCAAATATTACATAGAACACTTTCTTTTAAAATGGGTAATCTAGTCCAACTCCAGTTTCTGGATCCGGTCCAACCCCGATGGGTCAGGCTTCTACAATGGAGCCAGCCAGCCTCCCGCCAGTTTCTGGACCCCGTCCGGAAGAAGAAATGCTCAAGTCAAGTCTGAAAACTCCTAACAGAAAAGCTGGGATCCAGGCTAAGCGAGGGACTCATCCACTTGCTCTAGAAACAGAGAGAATGCAGGAGCTCAAGGAGCTTGGCAGGCATTTGCTTCAGTTAATGAAAAACAAGTTAAGGAGCACTGTGACGCCAGGATCCAGCGGCAAATCCACACGATCGCTTCATGACCAAAGCTAAACACTCTGAGCGATGAAACACAAAATGATAGCATTGGATAAGAATCCACATAATAAAATAAGTATCCATGAGTTCATAAGGCTATAAAAAATATGTGATTGCACAGATAGATGCCCGTGAAAGGACGGTCCCTTCTTTACAATAGAATTCACATTAATACGAATGGAAGGGATGAAATTGAAATTGAGCAATGAGAAAACAGCACAGGAATGCTTGCTGCATACAAGTTTTACTAATGGAGGCTAAAATCAGTGAACGAACAACTGGAGAGAAACAGGATAGATAGAGTCTCAGAGATATAGTTCCCAATATATTTGCCAACTACACTGGCAGGGAGGATAGCAACTTTACAGTGGAACAACCCAGCAGAAATCATCTTCTCCAAGTGAACAAGGGTAGCCTCACATCACCAGCAATAAGACACATAAATAGCACAAACCCGGTGATATGAGGCACCAAGGAGGATACAGCACCACTTCTGTGACATTCATGCCCCAAATGCATTCACCTCAGTCCTATCGCATGAAAACAGTAGACAGACACAAACTGAGGGACCTTTCACAAAATGACTGACCAGTACTCTTCCAAGGTGTCAAAGTCATGAAGGACAAAGAGAGACTAAAGAACTATCAAACTCTGTAGGAGACTAAGAAGAAATAATGACTAAATGTAACATGGGATCTTGATAGGATTCTGGATCAGAAAAAGAACTTGAGTGGCCAAACTAGTGATATTTCAGTAAGGCCTTAAGTTTAGTTAATGGTGGTATAGCAATGTTCATGTTCTGGTTCTGATTGTTGCATTATAGTTATGCAAGATGATAACGCTGAGGGAAGTTAGCTAAAGGATACATGGAAACTCTGTGTTCTGGTTTTGTAACTTTTTAGTAATTGTAAAAGTATCTCAAAGTAAAAAGTGTGTTTTTTTAAAAAAAAATGGACAATCTAAAGAATTTTCTATTGCCCAATAGGTTATTCCAACTGTTATTATAATTTCTATATAATTCATATCATAAGTAGTAATCATTAATATCTCAAAAATCTTAAGTTCCCATGTAACATATGCAGCTTAATTCTCAACTTGGAGCTATATCAAAACATCAAGGTGCACATGTTAACTATATATACTTTCCGTTGATTATACCTCAATAAAGCTGGGGGACAAAAGTAAGCAATGATTTCACGATAACAATGAGTATTTCTATAGTAAGGAGTGACATTAAAAGTATTCAAAATATTTAACAACCGATTTTGTTATACAAATTAGTGCAGAAATCAAATATTACCACCATCTGCTTGTTTTACTTCTGTTCATTAAGCTCTCACACCAGTCCTTCAGAAACTGACATTCCCAAAGGTGACCACACGAGGGCGACTCTCATGAGCTGTGCCTGCCCGGAGTGGGCAGCCACAGCTCCGGAGCGGTCCTCTCTGGCTAGCGAGTTCTGCGGGTACGAGGGCGAGCAGAGAGGATCTACAGAGGGCAGGTAGGATGCCTCACTGAGAAGTTGGCACTCAAGCAAAGATTTGAAGGAAATGGGAGCATGAACCATGCAGATCACTTGGGGAATTTTCCCAGGCCAAAAGAGCCTCTACTATAAATGCTAGGAGAGAACAGAGTCCCGCGCTCTAGGAACAGGAAGGAGGCCAGTACAGCTGGAACAGAGGGGAGATAAGGCACCAGTAAGAGGTCTGAGGGCCATCACAACTAATGTGGCTTTTATCCTGAGTGAGATGGGAAAGCGATAAGGGGTGCTGAGCAGAGGAGGGACCTGAGATGATTGTAAAACATCTTAAAATGGCTGCAATATTCTATTTAGAAAAGGCTGAAGGGGGATAAGGACAGAACTGGGCAGGCCAGTGAGGAAGCTACGTCTCGTGGGGAGGAGGTGGGCCCGTGGCCAAGGGTGGCAAGCATTTGTAAGTTCCATCGCCCACATTCAACAAAGCACACAGAGATGCACTTAAAAGCATGAAATTAGATGTTATCACCAAGCAAGGGAGTGAAGACAAAGACCAGAGGAGGCGCAGAAGGGATGAGAAACCAGCAAGGGCTGAAGCAGGAGCAGCCTCCCCTCCCCACAACAGGTCACTGCCTCCCTGCATTCAGATGTTTGTCATTCTCATGAATGTCTTCCTACTTTCACTACAAAAGGATGTACCTCTAGACAACACATAGGAATGTTTTTGCATGCTTTTCAAATTTTTTATATGGTATCACACTTGATAGTATTTCCCCAGTTGTTTTCCCCCCACAACCAATACTTGTGAACTTTATCCATGTGAATGCATGTTGCTCTAGATCACTCAATAGTCACTGCTGTCTGGCATTCCTGTGTGTGAACAGGCCACATTGGGGTCATTTTCCCGCAGACGGACACGTAGGTTATTTCACTATTTCTGCTATGATAAACAACACTGGTACGAGTACTCTCACACAAGCCTCCTCCTGTGAGACTTCTCTAGGGCAGTGGTTCTCAAACTGTGTCAGAGTCACCTGGAAGCCTTAATACAACAGATTTCTGAGCCCCATGTCCAGAGTTTGTGAACAACAGGTCTAAGGTGGGGCACAAGAACTTGCATTTCTTTTTTTTTTTTTTATCATTTTTATTTATGCATTTGTTAATTTACATGCAAGTTAGTTAGCATATAGTACAACAACTATATGTTGTAGGAGCATATGTTTTAGGAGCAGATTCCAGTGATTGATCCCCTATGTATAAAACCCAGTGCTCATCCCAACAAGTGTCTTCCTTAATGCCCCTTACACATTTAGTCCATCCCCCTCCCACAACCCCTCCAGCAACCCTCTGTTTGTTCTCTGTATTTAAGAGTCAAGAATTTGCATTTCTAACCAGTTGCTCCATGATGCCATTGCTATCCCTCCCAAGATCACACTTGGAGAAACAAAGCACTGGGGCACATGCCAGGAGGGCAGTGATGGTCACAGACATGCATGGACATCTTCAGCCTTTCTAGGTATTGCCAAATTGCTCTGCAAAGTGGGTGAAGCAATTTACACTTCCACCAGTAATAAGTATGTGTCCCTGCTGCCAACACTTGGTACTGTCAGATTTTTTATTTAATCTGACCTTTAGTCATTTTGTAAACTTATCATGGCATTTTTACCTACACAGTATGTGTAAATAAAAGCCACTTAAGACTTTACATCCTAGGGTCAATTAGAACATTTCCAAGCATTTCTATAGACAGGCCCCTCAGGTTCTATCATCTGCCCAGCTACCTGCTTGTTTTCCCCATCAATCCTAGAAATAAACAAAAATGGTGCAAAGTCATTAAGAACATTATGAAAGACGACTACAGTTTTCTTTTCATGGCCAACTGCCCTGTAGCGTTATTTATTGTAGTTCCGTCCTCTTGGGGTTTTTGTTTGTTTTCGTTTCGTTTTGTTTTTACTTAATTAGGTGAAGGGACTGAAGCAAATCGGGCATATGGATACAGAAACTTAAACTTCCTTCACCCACATACCTGATCACTTTTGGAGGGAAATAAAGAAATCACAGTCAGGGAAAAGTTCCTTCCATTTTATACCACATTAACAAGGAGACAAGAAGCCAGTACTCACGAATCTGGTTGGTGGATGCACTGTAGAAGGCATTGACGGTCGTGGGATTCGTAAACCACCTGTAGAAAGAGAAGCAAATACCACCAAGAAATCATCATTATCCAGGCGGGAGGGCAACAAGAATGAACACAATGTGGCAAGATTTATTAGAAAATAACCAGCGAGCAATGGGGAAATAGGGCACATGGGGAAATTACCACCTCAGTTTAGGGTTATTGCTCTGTTCAATGAGCAGCCTCATCATAAACTGAACATGGTTCAGTGAGAATATATTAACATGCCTGCTTATTCACTAGTACTAACTTAACAGAAAAAGTCAGCACCAGTGCTTCTGAAATAGCTTTAATGAGAAATTCTAGAATCTAAAGGGCTCTCCCCATAGATGGAAACAGCAAGAAGCTGATGTTTGGCAGGCCTAGTTCAATGGATCTATGGGACAGCTAACTTTCTATGCTGCATCACTTCTGACCTGTCCATTCGAGGTTTGGCATTGATGACAACACAGAAATTCATGTAAAGAGAGATGGATAAAGTATAACTATGCCACCCAGAGGTTCTCCCTGCTCCAGTGGACAGTTTACAGATGTAAGCATCCAAAGAGCTAATGAGTCATCCTGCCTCTTTTACTAAGTAGCCGGATTGTTTTGGAATAGTTGCCCACCTTCCTGGGGTTTGGTTTCAGCTATAAAATTAAGATACTGCATTAAGAGGCACACCTGAGTGGCTCAGTCAGTTAAGCGTCCAACTCTTGATTTCAGCTCAGGTCATGATCTCATGGCCTGTGAGTTTGAGCCCCACATCGGACTCTGCACTGACACTGCAGAGCCTGCTTGGGAATCTTGCTCTCCCTCTCTCTCTGCCCTCTCCTGCTCTCTCTCTCGCTCTCTCTCTCAAAAAACAAATAAACTTAAAAAACATTTTTTTTAAAGATCCTGCATTAAGCAATCAGGGGAGTACCTTCCAGCTATAAAGGGTCTACATTCCAGGGGCACATGGGTGGCTCAGTCAGTTAAGTATCTGACTTCTGCTCAGATCATGATCTCACGGTTGGTGAGTTCAGGACCCAAGTCAGGCTCTGGGCTGACAGCTCAGAGCCTGGAACATGCTTTGGATTCTGTGTGTCTGTCTTCTGTCTGTCTGTCTCTCTCAAAAATAATTTTTAAAAAAGAGTCTACATTCCACTTTAAATGCATGGACTACTTAGCTCAGGGCTTCACAAAATTTTTTCTGTAAACAGTCAGATGGTAGACAATTAGGCATTCTGTAGGCAAAGAGGCAAAAATCAAAGATGTTATGTAGGTACTTCTTTCGTAAGAGAAAGGGTTCCACAAAATTTTATTGATAAAGTTAAAAATAGAACAAGTGAGTACAATTTTTTGTAAGACAGCCTGTTAATGAGAAGAATGGAATTCTTTAGAGGCAAAATAACATTTTGCTTAATTGGGATTCAGAGTTAGTGCTTCATATCATTAGATCGACTACAAACATTTATCTCTAAAAATCACTCTTTGCTCATGGGCCCCACAAAAACAGGCATCAGGCAAGATTTAGCCCACAAGCTGCATCGTGCTGACCCCTGATTTAGAGGCCTGTGAGTTTCTGCCCTTTATGATAAAATCCAAGCAATCTGTCTTAAATTGCTCAAAATAAATTTATATAGATCCCTTTTCAAAACAATCATTTTACTGATTTATATCTAACAGAAGAATTATGGCAAGCTAATAATTTAAGTCAGACTAATATGAAACTGGTAGGAAATCCAAGGGTTGATTCTAGTTGATCGGCCCACACCTTCTCCCTATAAAGAAGTCCACAAATACATCATTCTATTATCATTAGAAGTAACAGTGGCCGTAGGAAACTTTCACTGAGCGCTCACAATGCCCTAGGCACTTCCTATTCGTAGTCTTCCCCATAGCAACTGTAGGAATCACTAGCCTATCTCACAGATGAGGACAATGAGATTTAAGAAGCATTATGTACTTGTGCAAGGTCTGCTGTGACTTCAAACTGGTTCTCTTAAGTGTTACAGTATACCGGAGACGTTACTGGAAATCAAGAGAGTGCCTCCTCTAGTCAAAACTGAAACATGTACTCCTTTCCATAAAATGTGTACTCTTTTCCTTCAGAGTTAGGATTAGTATTTCAATAAGCCCCAATGTTTAGCAAACAAACTTACTGGCTGGTCTACCTTCTTGAGGAAACAAGTGGAGGGGAAAACACTTTCATCGTTCTAAGGTCACTACCTGAGGTAGGTGGAATTATGTTCAGGTCCTAATCCCTGGATCCTGTGAAGAGGTTACATTACATGCCAAAAAGGACAGTGCAAATACAATTAAGGTTAAGGAGCTTAAAACATGGATGGTCTCCTGGATATCCAGGTGAGCCCAATCTAATCACTAGTCCTTAAAAAGTAGAGAACCTTCTGTGTCTGGAGTCCCAGAGATGCCGGGAAGGAAGTCAGATTCCAAGAGTTAAAAGGATTCCACATGCCGTTGCTGGCTCTGAGATGTAGGGACCATGGTGCAAGGATCAGAGAGAAGCCTTTAGAAGGGAACAGTGGCTCCCAAATGACAGCCAGCAAGGAAGTAGGGATGTCAGTTCTGAAACTGGCAGGTAGTGAATCTGCCAACAACTCAATAAGCTTGGAACAAAATTCTTCCCAGAGCCTCCAGCTATGAGCCCAGCCAGCTGACAACTTGATTCCAGTCTTATGAAACCTAGATCTCAGAAACCAGCCAAGGCATCCTGTACTTCTGACCTACAGAACTGTGAGATAATACATTTGTGTTATTTTGAGTTGCTAACGTTGGGTAGTTTGTTACAGCAGCAACAGAAAATTAACACATTACCATACAAAGAACCCAGCATTGGTATGTCTGAAGATTGAGTCAAGTCCTAAATGACAATGGACTGAAGCGTCATAGGTACAAAAGATGATTTATATCCCTAGAGCTCATCCCTTCTCTCCCCTGCCTTCAGCAAAGAATGAACTTGCAAAATGTGAGGATAAGGGCCATGCAGGAAAAATGATTCTAACTGCTGATGAACAAAGGTGGACAAAACAAAGAGATCAAACAATCAGACGGGGCCTGATGGGGCCTCTGAAGCTTCAGCAAGAGTACCTACAACCTCTTATTTCAGGCCCACGATTTCACCTTTCCTGAATTCCCAGAGCTGGTGCTGTCTGTAAAGTATGTTTGGAGCCTTGATTGTACCCAGAGTTGATATTTAGTGGCTGCACCAGTAGATCTTACCACTTGTGGGCGCTACTGCTGCTTCTTATTGGTCACTGCCCATGCCAAACCAGCCATTAAATATTCTGTATATCTCCCTGATTATATCCAAGTGTATTATATATTTAGTTTTACCATTCACTAGTATAAGGCTACCTATTCTGATTTTAACATGTGTTTGCAATTTTTTTTGCGCTCCTCCCATTAAGGAGTGGAGTCTACATTCCTCTCCTCTGGATTATGGGCTGGCCTTGGTGACTTGGTTTTAAAACATAAAATGCAATGGAAATGACACCACGGGACTGCCTATGCCAGGCAATTAAGGGCAATACAACCTCCCCCTAGTGTGCACACAGGGTTCCTTCCTCCTCTCTTTCTCAGGAACCTGCTCTTTGGAGCTTCTTGCTCAATCAGCACGCTATAAAGAAGCCCAGTATGCAAAGCCAGAGGCAGCCAACAGCCATCATCAGCCACTAGACATGAAAGAAGACCCCTCCCCCATGACTCCAGCTCCAGCCACTCTCTGACTGCAATTACATGAAAGCTCATAAACAACAAGCACCCCGCTGAGCCTAGTGGAGTGGTTTGTTAGACTGCAGGAGATAGATAACTGAAACACTGACAAGTGTTCGTAGATGAAGTTGTAACCAATGGGTTGACTTTTCTCATGAAAATGTTTTGTCTGCCCATCACAACGGTTTTTAAAAGGACTGAACTGGAACTCCTTTAAATGAGGTGTACAATGACTAGTTCTCCACGGTCCCCATCGTCCCCCGTCAGTTTACATTTGTCTACATCACCATCTGTTAACTGATTGGGCCCTGAAAGCATATGTGTTAACACAACTTGTCTCCCAACAAGATGTTAAGCTCTTTATGGGCTAAGACCATTGTCCCAGTGGCATGTGCTGATCAGAAGATCATTACATCTATTGAAATGAATTTATTGCTATATATACATCTACTTGAATAAACGAAAAGTGTCATTCAAGTGCTTTAAATTCTTCTTACCATGACTTTAGGGTGTTCCTGCTGACTGTGTTTGGGGAAGGATTTAGTGGACAAGGTGGGAAGAGGTCTCGTATAAATTTCAAAAGAAAAATATATGGGGATGAAATTATACTGGACAATGGAATACACAAAAGGAGTGTAATAATGAAATACAGTTGTTTAAAGACAAGGACATTGGTACTCTGATTTTTTGAACCATATAAAATAGATCTACATCAGGCTAAAGTTTTACATTTTACCTGTCAGCTCTTAAAGATAGTCAAAGGAATAGGGAATGGTCAAACCATAGAATATTTATTACTTTATTTCTAATATCCTGTAGATTATATCCTTCCCATTCCATGCTATAGAGAATGCTTTTACAAACAAAAATTCTGGGAAAAATCATAATTTGTATAGACATTTGATCTATTTTTACCTATTTTTTGAAAAGATAGAGAAAGAAATTCCAGACATGTCTGGTCACAGCAGAATGAGAGTGAGTTAATAGGGAAGCTGACTTAAAGCCATTTCTGTCAAAGAAAGGGGATCCTAAGGGAAAAAATTACTTTTGACTCAAGCCAAGCAGTAGAGTAAATCCTCTATTTTTAAGTGAGCTGATGAAGTGACAATTCTGAGAACCAACCCCTCAATATGTACCTTCAGGGATGACCACCCAATTAACTGCATTCTTGCTGACATTTCCCATTGCGTTAGAAACTTCTTAATGCACATTAGTTCGGCTAAAATGGATTCCATGAGAATGAAAGATAAAGGGTATTTATCTCCTATACCCACAAAGAAGCAAAATGTTATTTCAGGGCTTTGTGGAAATATAATCATGATGTGCTATTCAAAGTAAACTAATGTAGTGGAGCTACTCCAGAATCACTCCCACTAGATTAACTCATCAATTTTCAAAACTAAAAGATGTCGATTAAAGCCAGTGGGTGTCATGAAGCTAAAATTCCCTACAATGCCTGAAAAGGAGCAGCCCAAAATTTCTTCTAAAAAATGGACTATCCTATCCCTTTACCACACAAAGAGGACCTTCAATTTCTTAATGTTACTTTCCCTGAAATAGACACATAGTTTGAGGAAGCAAGAATTAGTACTATTGCATGGATTTTCATTCGTGCATAACTTTTCCAGAAACATTAACCAATTTAAGGTCCTTGTGAAAGAGGTATTTGTTTTTGCTGATGGAGAAGAAAACTACACAGAATCATGCGGTTTGCCTAAGCCCACAAAGTCAGCCAGCATTTTTCCAAGGCATGAATGAAATATGAAAAATAGACAAGGCCCTTCGAATCTGAAAGTCCATCAGTATTTTAGGATGATGGTAAAAAGGACACATTTAGGAGGTTTTCAATTAGCAGCACAGGCCTTGTCACACACCCAAAAACATAATGACATTTTGAAACTGAATTAACTTGACAGTATCTCTAATATGGAGAAGCACAAACGCCAAAAATTCAGGAAAATACTGGTGACAAAAATATCTTGAATTATCCACAAACTGCAAGAAGAGTCTGAACCGATCTGAAGTAGATCTGAAAGAGCAGGATGATTCACACAGATCTGTGACTACCATACTACATGGAGATGCTCATCCGGATACTGGAAAACATTTGCTGAGGCTGTCAGATTCAAGGAGCTATCTCTAGAACCCTAAATCTAAAATTTCATTTTTCTTTTACATCTAAAATTTCAATTGACTGATTGAGGTTAGGAATGAAGCAGGAGAGACAGGCTGAGAGACACTATGATGAGAGGAGAGATCCAAGGACATTGGAGCACATGGCTTGAAAGCAGTTGCCTGTCATTTCCAAAGAAGTCTGAAAACCTTCTAACCTATGTTCTTTTGACTGGAGTCAGGGATGGGTAGAGCAATGGTTCAGCTTTAGGCCTACTCCTTAAAGTGAGCACTTTGAACTAACTTTGTGGGTGGATGCTGTAGGAAGGCCAGAAGGGCAGAGGGCAGAGATAGGTAGATTGGGAGCCATGGGTAAGAGGGACAGCTAGTATTGACAGCTTAAGCCAAGGGCTGGTACAGAGCCTCAAGTTTCTACAGTCTAGAAAAGAGCAGGGAGTTGAAAGGGAGAGTAACAAGAGACCCAGAGAGCATAAAAAGAGCCAGTCAAATATCCAGAGACCAGAATATCAGCCAAGGTTAAAAAGTAGGCCATAAAAAAAAAAAAAAAGTGGGCCATGGAAACCAGGCTTCCAGCTATGATGATATGAAATAGTCAGCAAATTCCTTCCACAAAAATCAAGTATAAAACTGGACACAATGGTCAACAAACAGCCATTTTAGGGCTCTGGGAATTGATCATCAAATCCAAACACCAAACTGAAAAATGTTTAATTATGAAAAAGTGCTAGAGCTTGGAAGTAAGTAGAACAGGAGTCTGTGGCCTTCTTGCCAGGGACTGCTCCTGCCCTTCCCAGCATGGTCAGTGAGAACTCTGTTCTCTCAGGACAGGTAGGGCGGCTGGCAAATCAGCAGCTTTGTTGCCACAGGGGGTGGACTCAGTTGGAGGTGGAGGTGAAAACCTGCAGCTTTGTCAGCTAAAAGTGGCAAACTTGGCAGAAAACAAATGAAAGGATGCCCACGTCTCTGCCAGCCTGAAGTTACAGTTCCCGTTGGGAAGACTGACAGGCGAGCCGGGAATTTTTTTAATATTTATTTATTTATTTTGAGAGAGAGAGAGAGAGAGAGAGAGAGAGAGAAAGAGAGAGCGAGCGAACACTTGAGGGGGGAGGGGCACAGAGAGAGGGAGAGAGAGAATCCCAAGCAGGCTCTGCACTGTCAGCACAGAGGCCGACACAGGGCTCGATCTAACAGACCATGAGATCATGACCTGAGCCAAAATCAAGAGTCAGATGCTTAACCAACTGACCCTCCCAGGCAACCCCAAGCCAGAAATTTAAAAGGGAGATCTTAGAAATAAAATAGTCATAGAAGGGTGAGGTAAGATCTCCGCACACCCCTGGCGGCCTGGGACCCTAGACACACATACAGGAAAGATTCAAGCGAGCCCAGTGGAAAGTGAAATCCAAGGCTAACTGAGAAATGTACTCCCAGCCCATACACAGATCAACTGGTAGAGGACAGAAGCCCTCCCTATTCCAGGTGTTTGAGCACAACGTCTACCCCAATCCCTGGCAGAGCGCTAAGCTGTGCAGGCACAGGGACAACCTCTAGGAAATGAGGCTCAAAAATAAACATAAGAATTTAAAAGATGAGAAGAGACCTCCATGGCCGCCTACTATATAAGGAGATAGATTCTGCAATCTAAGTCAAGGAAAGTTATCTTTTTTTAAGCCTCAGAAAAATTAATCAGAATCCATAGTTGTTACAATGTAGTATCCAAAATGTCATCTTCAACGACAAAAAAAATTATGCTATACAAAGAGAGAAAAGTGTTTAAAAAAATGCAGTCAATAAAAACTGAGCAAGGCCAGATGTTGGGTTTAGCAGACTTGAAAGCAGCCATTACAAATTAGCCTACAGAATTAAATTATATTCAAAGAATTAATGGTAAATATAACAGTGACTGAACAAACAGAAAATCACAACAAAGAGAAACTAAAAAACAACCAAATGGCAATTCTGAAATTGCAAAGTACAATCACCAAAATGAAAAATTTGTTACATGAGTCAAAAGCAAATTTGAAAATGCAGAAGAAACAATCCATGAATTTGAAGACAGATCAACAGAAATTATGCAGTCTGCAGCACAGGGAGAAAAACAGTGGAGAAGTGGGCACCAGCAGAACAGTATCTAAAGTACCAGCAGGCAGAACCAACAGTAATCTAAACCTTACAGGGAACACTGTGTCAAGTGTATTTCAATTAAAAAAAAGTGATCTAAACCTCAAGTGAAGATTTCTTAATTATAAGCCTCTTATTTGATAAGTGGGGATAATAAATAGTATGTACACCTCACAGAAATGACAAGAGGATAAAATTAATTCTAACATGTAAAACACTTCCTGGCACATTGTCAACATAATAATGGTTAGATGCCATCATTAGCATCATACACATGTTGCTAGGGAAGGAAATCATGGCTGGCCTTGGCCCCAAAACTTCCTAGGGAAACTGCCTACCTATAGGGAAAGTTCCTACAGGCAGCTGGGAGGAAGGGGAATAAATTATAACTGCTATTGGAGAAAAATTATACAGCCATCAGTTCTGTGACACTTACTGCTTCAACAAAATCTTCTAGTTACTTCATAAGTATACAATTACTTCTACATTTGTACCTATACTTTGTAAGTATTTGTTCTTTTTTAAGATCTTCAAAAGTTTCTGCCTGAGTGTGAAATTCTAGAGCAATTTGTTTTCAATATACATATATTTATAAGTACATCTAGAAATGATTCACACGTTTGTACCCTAATAAGCATTCCTGCACTATGTTTTGATGCCATAATTAGAATTAAGAACTGATTCATATAATATCACAAATAAGACTTATCAACACCTAACACAGATTTTGCCAAACCAAGGTAACTGGACAGCCAGCTACTCTGACTAGAGGAAATTACAAAATTTGACCTAAAGGGACTTCACTTCCCACCACATATTTATCTCTTTCACCTTCTTTCATTTTTTAATTTTTTTTTACTCACTCTGTTTTTGGAACCGCTTTTCTCAGCCAGAAGAAATCAGACTGTGCTAAATACTTGCGGGTTTGCAGGACATTGCCAAAGTAGTCGGATTCTGAAAACTTGATCTGAATAAAACAAACCACAACCATCATTGTTCAAAGTGCAGATAAAAGAGGGCTCTGCCAACGGAGAGGCTGCACTCCTCACATCACCTCCACCAGTTAGCCCAGTATCCACAAAGCCATGAAATTTCATCTCAGTGATTTTCCTTTCAAATAAAAAGCCCCAAAATCAATACAATGGTTTCTGGATCGCAGTAAAAAACAAGAGAAGCTGCAATAATTTATGATGCGTTTCACTTGCTTTATAATTGAAAAATCTACTTTAACCTTTACAGAACCTATTATCCTAGGTTTGAAATTTCTTGGCTCACCTGAGTCCTTCATCTTTTCTAAAATGGGTACGTTATTTACTTGTAATGTAGGTTTTTCTAATAATATTCAGTTTAGTCAGCTAAAAAACTTCATTTAGCTTATAGATGATGATTTAGTCAAATGTTAAAATCCAATTTACTGTAATCAGCATTTGTTCATGAAGGGAAAAAAAAAATCAAAGTGATTCAGGGACTTATTTCCCATCCTGAGCACAATGGAGCCACTAGGATAATTCCATTATTAACAGATATTTGTCTATTACCACACAAAAAAATTCTCTGGTCACCAAAAACTAATGACATTATAGAGGCAAATCCTAGATTCAGCTTACATAGAAAAACAGGAAGCTGATGTCTCACAACAATTTGTACATTACAATTGGGAAACAGACATCAAGGATTCTTGAGTTCCTTATCTTTTTTTGGAAGGAGAATGGCAAACAATTTCAATTCTATAGCCACTCTCTACAAAACTAGCAGTACTTAACCTAAATATTATTAAATAATATCTGTGTAACAGTAAAAGCAATGGTTTGTAGTAACATCTAATACTTTGGTTTTAAAATGTATTACTGGGGTGGGGCACCTGGGTGGCTCAGTCGTTTGAGCATCCAACTCTTGGTTTCAGCTCAGGTCACTATCTTGTGGTTCATGAGTTCAAGCCCTGCATCGGGCTCTGTGCCGACAGTGCAAAGCCGGATTAATATTCTTTCCCCTCTCTCTGCCCCTACCCTGCTTGCTCTCTCTCTCTCTCTATCTAAAAATAAATAAATAAATAAACTTTTAATTAATTAATTAAATATATTACTGGGAAAAATAAAAATACATGTTTGAATAAGCAAATAACCAACAGTAATCAAATTCTTTTTTTTTTTTTAATTTTTTTTTCAAACGTTTATTTATTTTTGGGACAGAGAGAGACAGAGCATGAACGGGCGAGGGGCAGAGAGAGAGGGAGACACAGAATCGGAAACAGGCTCCAGGCTCCGGGCCATCGGCCCAGAGCCTGACGCGGGGCTCGAACTCACGGACCGCGAGATCGTGACCTGGCTGAAGTCGGACGCTTAACCGACTGCGCCACCCAGGCGCCCCTACAGTAATCAAATTCTTATCGGCTATATTTTTTGTGTATTTAAACCATATGATTTTAAAAGCAAAAATTAAAATACAGCAAACTCAAGTATATGAAACCCACAGGCATTACATTATAAATATACACACATGCACACACAACTTGATGGTTATAGATTTGACAGTCACCTATTCGTTGGCCAATGTCTGGCTCTCTTCCCTAACATACAATAGATACTCATTATGTCTGTAGAGTATCTCTGTTAATGATTCATCTTGACCTTTCCAGGGGCCAGGCCAAAATATAAAGGAAGGAGCAAAACAACTGAAGGCACAGGGAGAAATGCAGGAATGAAAGTATCAATTCCTGGCACCTTTGCTGTTCTACTTGATCAACCAATTATAAAGATACGACTTTATTTTTTTTTTTTTTTAATTTTTTTTTTTCAACGTTT